ATCATCTCGCTCGCCCTCTACACCATCTTCAACATCCCCTGCGCCCTGTCCCCCAACATCGGTGGCCTTCTCGTCTGCCGCTTCCTCTGCGGTGTCTTCTCTAGCTCCGGTCTCTCTCTTGCCGGCGGCACAATTGCCGACATTTGGAACCTCGAAGATCGCGGCATGGCCATCGCCTTCTTCGCCGCAGCCCCCTACTGCGGACCCGTCATCGGTCCCATCGTCTGCGGCTGGATCACCGTTGGCGCCCACCGTCTCGACCTCTTCTTCTGGACTAACATGGCCTTCGCCGGCGCCGTACTTATTCTCGTCGCTCTAATCCCAGAGACCTACGCCCCGGTAATTCTTAAACGCCGCGCTGCCCGTCTCCGCAAAGAAACAGGAAACCCCAACATCATCACGGAGCAGGAGAAGCACAAGCTCACCCTGCACGATATCATCCGCACCAGCCTCATTCGCCCCATCACTATGATCCTGACCGAGCCCGTCCTCGATCTCATGTGCATGTACATCGTGCTCATCTACAGCATGCTCTACGCTTTCTTCTTCGCCTACCCAGTCATCTTCGGAAAGTTGTACAACTACAACGACGGCCAGATCGGACTGATGTTCATTCCTATTCTCATCGGCGCGGGCTTCTCCCTCCTTTTCACACCCCTCGTCGAGAAGCACTTCCACCGGATATGTCTTTCCCGTCCGCCCACACCGGAGGATAGACTCATCGGGGCACTGATCGGTGCGCCGTTCGTGCCTATCTCGTTGTTCATTCTCGGTGCTACTTCATTCAAGCATATCATTTGGGTCGGACCGGCATCATCAGGAATTGCTTTTGGATTTGGCATGGTGCTGTGCTATTATGCGGTTAATAACTATATCATTGATAGTTATCAGAAGTATGCGGCTTCGGCGCTAGCTGCAAAGGTGTTTTTGAGATCGGGTGGAGGTGCGGCCTTCCCGTTGTTTATCACCCAGATGTACGATCGATTGGGGCTGCAGTGGGCGTCGTGGCTGTTAGCGTTTATTGGGGTCGGGATGGTGTTCATCCCGTATGTGTTCTATTTGTTTGGCGGGAGGTTGAGGGGGAAGTTGGGAAGGAAGGAATAGATTTGGGATGGAGATTAAATTGGAGATGTGGTAATGAGCGGATAGATAACTAGAACGAGTATATAGATAGAATAATGTGTTACACCTTTTCATTTCAACATTCTTCCTATTCTGCTTCACTTTGTTTTGTCCCTTATCTCATATGGTTGTCGGGTTCGTTTTCAGGTTTGCTCATGCTTGCTTTTTTTTTGGGTGCCAACCCCGCCTAGTCTTTTCCTTTTTGAGTCCTCGAGGAACGGCTGTGATTTCGCATCCTCCATTCCTTCTACAGCCTTGTCGACATGCTGCCTCTAGAAATCAACTCTGTCCTCGTCATCCGATGCCACACCAGAATTATCAATATCATGGTATTGGAGACACGCCATGGCCTTCACGGAGTCAAGGAAGTTCTGCAAGGCAGACACCCAGCCCACATAACCGGGATCACTCGGCAACAAGCACAACAGCGTCTCGGCTTCATAAGCACAGCGATCCTCAAGCGAAGTATACAAGCCAGAATAAGAAACTGACTAGGCGAGCAGAGCACGACGGGACTCAAGAAACTTGATGTATTCTGCAGTAAACTCCTAATGAAAGATTAATAATAAGACCACAAGAACCACACTCCTTAGTTATAATGAGAACTTACACACTTTGCAGTTTTAGTGCCCTTCAGTAAAAACTCACGGGTATAAACATCTTCCATATTATCAAACACTTCAAAAGGACGAGGACCTCTTTCTAGATAATTTATCTTATGTCAGTACTCCAATGATCTTCATCCAGGATAACCGTGGACTACTTAATAATCTCAATAAGATTGCGGGTGTTTCTTAAGAGGCCAGTCACGGGCTTAACAGATATCAGTAAATCATATATACATATCATGGGATGTGTGAAACTTACTAGATCATAGGTCTTGTTCCCCTCGGCACAGAAATGATATAAAATGGATGCTTGTGCATTGAGTAGGCAGCTGATGTCGTATGCGGCACCTTTATTGGGATCAAAATTATTGTTCACGTGCCTCAAAACAATGCATACAAAAGTTGTATCGCGCCTTGATGGGCACATCACGTTTCGGACGGTGGTTTCGCTTAGGCATCGTGGAATAATCGGAAGCGAAACCGATGCTTAGCAAATAAGAGAGAAGAAGAAAAGAAGAGACATAGAAGAGAAATACATGAGAAATTCATGAGAAGTATTAGTAGTAGTAGTACCAGCTGTCTACTGAGACCGATTCCTCCAACTTCTTCAGATCTCCTTGTTTAGGCCTCAACCGCATCCTCATTGATATCTGGTTCCTGTGTACTCTGTTCGTCGGACACCGAAGTCCGATTAATAAAGTCACCGCAGCGATATATTCCACAGTAACATCGCAACCATTTGACCCCTTGCCGATCTCGGAGACCCTCAATTGTGTTGGGCAGGCTTCGCAGTAGTAACTGATATAACGGGCGAGCATTTGTCTGATCATTATCCGGCATCGGTCCCTGAGGCAAATGTAGGGCATGCGAGGGCTCACACCAATAATATGAAATAGTATAGGTGGCTCTCGTAGGTGCGCGGAATCAATCATGCAAACAGATTTGGGTACCACATTTGGATGTTCGAGTGATAAATCAAGAACTACTCCGCACGCACCGCATAAGTCTCTGCCAAACGTGCCATCGTTGACAGAAATCCCATATAGGATGTCTGACGCAATAGTGCCCAAGACCTCTAGCCGTATACACATGATTACATGGCATATGCGTCGCAGATAGCAAGTGAAGTCAGCATTGTATTGAGGTCTTTCTGGGAGTCGGTGTCATATATGTTCCTAGCAGACGGATGTTGATGCGATGAATATAATGTCGATAATTATTACTATCAATGACGGAGAAGAACCAGTGATTGGTCGCTATACGCGGTGGGATATTTGTGGGCCGGAAGGAGACTTTATCTCCTTTGTGAACTTGAAGTCTTGCCAGCCTACAACCTGTCAGGTCTCAGCAACCCGTCTTCGGCTGATCTTTCTTGACCATGGGTGGAATTTATCGTATCTTCCAATTTGCCAATGGTAAAGAAAGGCTTATATAGTAGTTGGCAGCAAACAGGTAGAGTTAAGAATAGCCTCAGTCCTCTCCGGCTGCCTTTGCCAACACCCGACCGTCCAGTGTTGCGAGAAGATAAATCGGGGAGTATAGCGTGCATGGGCTTCACCATCATCATTCGAAGAATTATCTGTAGGTTCTGTGCTGTACTCGCGTGTTTCTTTGTATGAATAGGTAAAGAGTTTCTTGGGACTATGCACTTGGAAGTAAGGATGCGGTTTCCCTTCAGAGGGTATTGAAATACTTCTTTATAGTGATCTAAGGGGGAGAAATAGTCATGTAGCGGAGTAATATGAAGGGCAGCAAGATGGGAGAGCAGAAGTAGACTTACATATCTTGAGTGAAGAAAGTGAAGGGCTTGCAGCAGTGCATTTTCAGCAACCCTGATCCAGAGCCATTGAGTATATCATTGTGAATATATTGTAGTGCTAGATCATTCATTCGGAAACAGCACTCCTTATTAGGTTGTGTATTCAATGTCTGAGTGACTACGACTTCATCATAGAAAAGTTACCCTGCAATTCAACCACAAAGAAGTTAGGAGTCCACAACAGACTTTCTACCAACTTCTATGATTAGCCATCACACGACAAGTTCTAGGGATGAATTGAGCCTCCTATACATCGCCTGCAAAAAGCCGGAAATCCCCGACACCACTCCAAATTTTCAGCCGCAGCGCACAGACAGCCAACTCGTATCCGCACGAGGTTCAAGCCCAGAGAAGCGCGCGTTGGGAATACCAAATGCTGTATGATAAGGGTTCTGACTTGACTGCCAACAAAGAAGTCATATGCGCGCGGTGCTCGCCGGAATGTGATCGGGTGAGATGATGCGAGCCAATCGGGACGAGTACCCACATGGCGTATCCTTATGAGAGACATCCAAGCTGTATGGTCTCGACTAGTTCATTCCCACGGGACAAGACTTGCCAAGCTGATATTTAGTAAATTTTTATTTATATCGGCTCGGGTTCAGGCTTGTGATGAAGAAAAACGGGTTGTTGTTACGGCATCCCGAGGCAGGGCTGATCAGGCAGTGGAGCAACATGAAGCTATCCTTACTTGGGGTGTGCAAGCAAAGCATGTGAAACCGGCAGATTCTGACGTGGTGTGCAATACCTGCCATGCGGCGTCACCGTGGGAAACCATACAGCCTGATAGCGGATCACAGTTTCACTTCCACCGCATGGCATGTCTGTGCTTGGCGATGATGATTGGGTCGTCAGGGGTTACTGGATGATTCCTGATCCTTCGGCTGGAATTGCCAGGTGATGGCAGCATCGGTCGGCCTCGCCGGGGATAAGCCAAGCTGACACAAGACAAGGTAAGCAGACAAGAAAGTATTGTAGCTACTGGTAGGGTTACACGTCATGTTGCTGCATGATTAGCATGGGGGGTTAAGACCATGCCAGTTGATCATGTTATTCACCGCTGCAGTTCATAACAAAGACTCCATTTCGATCATCTGGTGCATAACTTGCACAACCGCGGGAAGGTTATGCGGATTGCCATGTTCTGGAGCCCGAACTCCACCGCATTTTCTTTCTCTCGGACCCACCACTGATTCAGCGCCTCCATCTTCAGTTTATTGCCACACATTAAGTGGCTATTGATATCCCGCTGACTCGCCTGATCAGGGATGCCCTAACAAACTCCAGCCAGATTAGCCATCAATCCCAGCGGCTCTGCATGTCACGACAAACGCTTTTTCTTGCACATTGTTATATCCTGCAAATTATGCATGCCGTTATCTCCGTCCAGACTATTTTAAAAACACCCCATCCGCCATGGCTTTCCCATTCTTCCTCTTCACGAATTCCACCCTAGTCTCTCTTTCTTCTCGTGCAGCAACCAACTGCCATCCTCATCATGCCCGACCTCGAGGATCAATCCGAGAAGCCCACTTCTCCAGTCCAGTCTCCCGCATCCAGCACCACCACCATTGCCGCCCTCTACCCCGAAACCGATCTCGACAAGGGCATCATCGGCTGGGACGGTCAAGATGACCCCAACAACCCGCAAAACTTTGCCCCGAAACGCAAATGGATGCTCCTCGCCCTAATGAGCTCCTTTACTTTCATCTCGCCGCTGGCGTCGAGCATGTTTTCCCCCGCTATCAGTTACGTGGCCGTCGACTTTGGCGTCACCAATGAATACCTCCTCTCCTTCAGTGTCACCATCTTCCTTCTCGGCTACACAGTAGGCTCCCCACTACCATCCCCACACCCTCAACCCCTCCCCATACTAACCATCCCAGATCGGCCCCCTCTTCCTCGCCCCCCTCAGCGAAATCTATGGCCGCCGCATCGCTTTGAGCGCCGCAAACTGGTTCTTCGTTGTCTGGCAAATCGGCTGCGCGCTCGCCCCCAATCTCTCTGCCTTGATCGTCTTCCGTCTCTTCGCCGGCATGGGCGGCGCCGGCTGCATCACCCTAGGCGCCGGCGTCATCGCCGACCTCTTCCCCCGGACCCAGCGCGGCATGGCCACCTCCATCTGGGCCATGGGCCCCCTGATCGGGCCCGTTGTCGGCCCCATCGCCGGCGGCTTCATCGGCGAAACCATCGGCTGGCGCTGGGTATTCTGGATCCTACTCATTGCCAGCGGTACTATCGGCGCCGGCATCGAGCTTCTCAACCGCGAAACATACGCCCCCGTCCTGATCCGCTGGAAAACAGCGAAGCTCGCACGTGAACTCAACCGTCCTGAACTTCGCAGCGCCTACGACATTTCCCAGGGCACGACACCCCCGACCGTCTCCCAGGCACTAATGCAGGGTCTGCGCCGTCCCATCATTCTCTTATGCAAGAGTCCTATCGTCCTTCTCCTCTCCATCTACATGGCCTTCGTCTATGGCCTCCTCTACCTCTTCTTCACGACCATCACCTCCGTCTTCGAACAGACCTACGGCTTTTCCACCGGTCTCGCCGGCCTCTCCTACCTTGGTATCGGAGTGGGCTTCTTCATTGGCATGACTGCCGTCGCAATGACCAGTGACCGCATGGTCGTCAAACTCACCGCCCGCAACAACGGCGTCTTCCAGCCCGAAATGCGTCTTCCCACTATGATCATCTTCGCCTGCTTGCTCCCCATCAGCTTTTTTTGGTATGGCTGGTCCGCCAAGTACGAGGTTCAATGGATCGTGCCGATCATTGGTATGGCGCCGTTCGGCATCGGCATGCTGGGCGTCTATATGCCGATTCAGACGTACGTAATTGATTGCTATCCGGCGTATGCGGCCAGTGCGAATGCGGCGCTCACAGCGACAAGATCGTTGGTCGGTGCCGTGTTGCCGCTTGCTGGGCCGAAGCTGTTTAGCAGTTTGGGGCTTGGGTGGGGGAACTCACTCCTAGGATTTTTGGCGTTGGCATTTGTGCCCGTGCCGATTTTCTTTAATCGTTATGGGCAGAAGATTCGGGAGAAGTGGGTTGTGAACCTAGATTAATGCCTCTACGACCACTTGTGCATTTTCGTTGTGCTGTAAAAAGTTTTGGTGGGCATATTTATAGATAATATACGTACATATATGCATGAATACATGAATGAGATATTAATAGTATAACAGAAGATGATATTACAGAGTGATTTGAGTCACTTTAAGTAAAAAAATTATCCAATCTCCATCAACACCTCACCCACATCCACCCCCCTAACAACATCCGGCCAGACATCCACAAACTCCCTCGTTATGCCCCATCCCTCCTTACACATGATCATGTTTTTGAACCGCGTCTTGATGACCAAGTCATTCTTCTCGTCCCTCTCCAAGAGACTCTCTCCCCATGGCCACCTTACCTTCATACAACACGCCAGAAACCCAAAAAGATCGTCCCTCTGTCGTGAATACACCTCCCACTCGCGGATAAGAGTCACCCTGATCTCAGGCCAGATTAACATATCCAGTGACGCCGGGTGTGGAATACGCAGCTGTTCCTGGACGGGGTGCATGAAGGTCGGCAGCTTGGCGAATGTCTCTGAGGTGGGGTTGAAGAGCCATTTGCTGTAGTGGTAGCTGAGCCAGCCGAAGGCGAGACGCTCGGGGTCACGCAGGGGACGACGGAGGGAGGTGGTGTAGATGGCGTTGGCGAGGGGGTTGGTGTTGGTGCCGTAGAGGAGGTCGAGGGGGTGAGGGGAAGGAGGGCAGGAGATGATTGTGGATGGGGGGAGGGCGAGCCAGAGAAGGGAGGGGGTTGTGGGGAGGTCGGAGTGCAGAGGGAGGAGGGAGTAAAGAGGTGGTATTGATTCTTCCTTGTTGGTTTGTGGTGGTGGTGGTGATAATGATGATGATGATGATGATGATGGTTTTGGTGTTGTGGTGTATGACTGGATAGGCGGTAGTGGAAGTTGCGTCGGTGGTTGTGGTTGCAGTAGATGCGATGGGGATGATGATGGATCTTCCCACGATGTGATCAATGACTTTAGTCCCTCTTGACGATTTCGTAGAACTTGATTCTCTTGTTGCAGGCCCTCTATTACTTGTAGGAGATGCTGCGTGCCGCTGTCGTCGTGGTAGCGCTCGCAATGCGCCACTTTGTCTTCTAGCTGCGCGGTGTATTGCTGCTTCTTTGTGCGCAGGGTTTGTTGGGCGCGACGGTCCCGGATACGCTTTTTCTCTGCAGAGGAGAGGGACATGCGTGCCGATGGTGCAGTAGAAGGAATTTAGTGGGAGCTGGGATAGATACTGAAAATGAGACTAAGCCTGAGATTAAGTTGTGGAATAAAGCTGAAGATAAAGTCGAAGGGACTAATGTCGGGGGTGGAGTTATGCACTGCGTCACGGCACAAGTTGTGCATGTCCAGGACAAAGGTGATTGGTGAGTGTGTGTGGAAATACCATGTGTTGTGGCAATAATTATATCGGGGCTGGTATTCCGGTCAGCAACACCCAACTAAGTCATGTATGTGAAATAGTGCTTGCTAGTTAAAACTTTGTGATCTGTTGTCAAGACGCAGGGTTGAACATATCTGGGAATTGATCTACGAGGACTCGAGTTATGGTTATAGATAGGTGTAAGAGGTGGTCAGCGACCACGCAGACAGAAGAGGGCGCGGAATTCAGATGATACCTGGCTACAGTGAATGATTCAACATCTGTTATTTTTGTTTGCTCACATACGCCGCACTAAAATTAAGTCTATATATGGGAAGGCCAGCTTCCTACAGCCCCCGAAACCAAGGATCCGACAGTAACCCTTGCACAGTATCCCTCTCATCTCCTTTCCACCGCAGCATTCGCGAGATTACGTTAATAAAGGCCTGTTTATCGTCACCTTCAACGTCGTGAAGAATTTTATTAAGTCCTCCACTCTCTAGGATCAGCCCTAGATGCTTAAATTTGCCTGCATTGAGATCAGTAAAGCTCCAACATTGCTAGCCGAGAAGAGTGACTACCTTCAGTATCAATATATCGAGAAGAATACTTCGCCTCATGAAGCACATCCACAGGTGGAGGTCCAAGTACCGATATAATGCGAGCCAGATGAGCTTCTTCCGTGAAGGTAGAGTGATTAGAGTCTGGTCCATCAAAAGGACCACTGCCATGGGCTAGTTCCACAAGCTGGATCATTATTAGCGATTTACAATATCTGCGAAGCGAGCAATAAGCCATACCAAAGCACCCAGGTTCCATATATCGGCACTGTACTTTCAACCTGCTCCAAGAATAACCTCTGGGGCCCTGAAACTATCTGGTAGAATGAGATGGTAATGAGTCTGAGACCCTTCCACAGCCAGTCCGAAATCAGTGATCACTGGTCTGCCCAAGCTGTTTGCTTCCACGCCGAAGTGATTTCTCGAAAGGTATATTGTTCGGTCTTCGAGCTGTTTCTGAGGCAGTGGTTCTTTTACTTCACTTGAGACACTCTATCAAGTATGGAGTGGCCACGGAGAGCCATGAGAACATTGTCGGATTCCAAGTCTAACCAATTATTAGTAATTCACAGCTTGCCTCAATTTTTGCTCAGAAGCCATACCTGTATGAACGACCTGACATCCAGAGTGGAGATAGCCAAGCCCTTCCAGAATCAATTTGGCAACAGGCCTGAGAGCGTCCAATGGAAGCACATCCCCTTGAAACCGCCGTCTAAGCATCCATAGAGGCTCTCACAATGGATCAAACACCATGCAAACGTGGGTACCATGAGGACTTGGTAAATTAAAGGAATCGAGCAACGTGCTGACAAAGTTCCGGCCTACATGTCGTGGATTTGCGCGCGTAATGTTTTCAGTAATTCGAAGTTCTCTTTCAGCGTCTTTCTTTGTTGAATGATTATTCGCCTTGATTTTGACTGCAACGTAGCGTGCTGGGCACCAGCGCCATCTACTATCATATTATTTTGAGTCTCTGCCGAACGGCTTAACGATACATTACAACATACTGATTCAAATCACGAGCCAGCCATACTGTTGACCTGGCTCCCCAGCCAAGCTTGGCAGTTATTTGGTACCTGTTGTTGAGAATCTCGTAGAGGCGAGCAGGATAAAAGTGGTTTGGCTCATAATGTGGAGTGCACTCTTCTTCAACGACTTCCGCAGCCGGTAAAGTTTGCCTCGGCACATTTGATGGTTTATAAGGACTTGATTTGAATACTTTGTTGACCGAAATCCTCAGAGACCTCCACGGTGTTGCCATTTTGGATGTAAGATCCGTGTCTGGTACATGCCATGGGAGGTCGGGGGACCAAAGGAATCTTGGGCAAGCACGGGCCCCATGTAAGGGGATCTGGACCCACTGTCTCCCGCGCGGATCTGACCGAAAATAGCAGGATATCAAAATCTCCACACTAATCAGTCTATTATACGTTTATCTACAGACACAGAACTTCTAGGTTAAATTGAATCGTATAGCATATGGAGTGATACTAGACATCTGAAAACCATGGATGTTCCAAGACTTCACGGGCAGTTAGTCGCTTCGCAGGGTCCAGATTCATCAGCTGCTCGATAAGATCCCTGAATTCCGGTTCCATATGGTCCTCCCACTGTGAAAATGGCTTGTATGGTATGTATTCTTCTGATCTTTCATCCCACAGCATCCGCAGGACTTGGCAATTGGCCTCGTCATTGCCAATATGCTTCAGCAGTCCATTAATGCCTTCCTTATCGCCAAAGTATGAAACTTGACGCTGTAGACGTATCATAGCGGGCAATGCACCTTGCGATTCATGGAAGCGGAAATCGTCATCGATGCCAAAGATAACACGTCCCAACACCGCATAGAGACACTAAACATGTCAATATTGCTCGTCTAAGTTAACAGATGTACTTACTACAATCCCAAAAGCAAACATGTCTGTTGGCTTGTTGAGTTCTCCCTTGAAGTGTGCTTCCGGACTGCGCCAGTTGTCGTTCCCAGCGAGCATACCTTTTATGCACCTACCTTCCGGCAGGTAAGCGGCATTCTCGAAATCGGTAAGTAGGACTCTCTCGACTACAGTCTCTTCTTCTTCTCTATCACGGCAATCGACCATGATATTATCCGGCTTAAAATCTGGTTCAAATTAGCACACATGTCCAGTGGTATCCAGGAGTCGGATCCATTGCTTATTACCAAGGTGCACGACATGCTGCTCATGCAACTCAGCGATGCCTAGCAGGCTAGCTTTCAGGATTTGCTTTCGAGATTGGGTCGATATTCCTCTCTTCACCAGGCTCAGGAAGTCGTCCGTCATGTACTTGTAGACGAAAATTCGCTGGCCTGGTATACTGTCGCATGGAAGCCGTATGTGGCTGTTTTTCAACAGCCGCGGTCTTATATCGACTGTGGAGTTGTCATAGATATCCCGAGGGATATCCTTCAAGATGAATTTGTCTTTCCCAGACCTAGGCATCATGAGTAAACCAGTCACTAACGAGAAGTTTGGGTATCGGAGAGAGCAGACTTGGCCAGCCAGACGCGACCTACGTAAGGCTTTTCCTGGATCATACTTCCAAACTGGTACCGTGATCCCGTAGCCCCAGCATAGTCAGTCGGTGCCTCCGCCATTCTTGCGAGGGTCCTTCGAAACATGGCATTTAGAATCTGTTGGCAAATCCTTCTGCGCCATATGGCTTCAAGAAAGCCCAGCTACGTGCAACTGTTCGGACGGCACGCAAGGATACTTTGGTCAAATTGAGCAGATGAAAGGTAAGAGATCAAGGGGCTGGGGCCGCCTTGTGGTCTGATGACTAAACCCGATGTGGAAAGAAAGACAAGCAAAAATAGGTGTCTTCCAGCGGCAACCTCGGGAAACATGTCATATCTCTGACTATCAGTTCGGTAAGGAGATGGTCAGCCTATTATATGCTATTTTTTTACTGGTGAGGGAGGAGCGCCGTTGGAGGTGGGGGCTGTAGCCGCGGGTATTGCGGCGGCGGTGCTGGAAGATAAAAAGACCATTTGGACAGTAAGTCATCGGAAGGGTGATAATTAGTGTTGTTATTCGTGGCCAGTTGCGATGGGGAGGGAGGGGGTAGTCAGGGAGGTGAAGGTGGAGGTGGGAGAAGGAGAGAAGTGGACATTTGAAAAGGGGGTTATGAAGTTGGGGATAATGTGGGAGCATTACAAGGTGAAGGAGGCTGAAGGGCCGTAGTAGGGATCGAAGTACCTTAGGAGTGGGATTATGCATTGCTTGATTGAATAGGGAGAACACGCGAACGAATGTCTTTGCAAGTATCGTATGTGTAACGAAGTGGACTGGGGTTCGAAAGATCAAAACTATTGAATTCACTTGTTGTCGCCATATCCATCAGCCTTCTTCCAATTGTGTCTCTGCTCTCTCGCCACCACCTGCCTCTTCACCACCACGAATCTACCCGATATCACCGACAACTCAGAATGATCAGTCGGTGCCTTTCCACAGATGCCCACCTTGCAGCCAACCCTACGCGCGATCCGAAGAACCTGCACGATGAGGGTCGTAACCGCCTTTCCCTGCTCATTGAACAGCCCTACTAACCTATCCGAGTTACAATAAACCCCAGTGTCAGCTGCGTGAGATCTTTCAACCCGATCGAGAACGCATCAAAGTGCGCCAGGAACTGCTCCGCCAGGACAATGTTTGACGAAGTCTCAAATATCAAATGAACCTGCAGTCCATTATCTGCCAACACCTGCAACACCTCCTTTGCTTCGCCCACCGTGCGACGAAACGGAGTCATGGCTACCACATCCGTGAACTTCATTTGCTCACGCAGCTGTGGATAGCCCTACACTCCAGCACGAACCCTTCATGAGCATGGGACTGTCATATCCTGCCCCGAGTGCAGCACATTGGTGGCATCATAGGTGCCCACAATGACAGGAACGCCAAGCTCGTAACTGAAAATGGCAGCCTGGGACGTGCGGCTGTCGTGGTCGGCGATAATCGCCACAGCGCGCTTCATGATCGGCACCCAGTCCGGTCGGTCGTGGCGGTGAGGAGAATGCAAACTCGTTGAACTTGTCCATTGGATGCAGACTCCGTCAGACAGAGACGACCGAAGACAGCGGCATCACCTACGACCACCCCGGTGGTTTAAAATGCGGCACTTGTGGCCAATGTTGTACGTCTTGAGAGCGGCGGTCGCGTCGCGACGCGAGTGCACGTTTTCCGGTCGGGCTTGAACGATGAATGAATCACTGGTGAGACTGTCTTTGGCCCCATTCCATATCCATGGGGCAATTGTAATGGGTTTGAATGGTGCAGGCCCTTCGAGCGAGTTGGGAAATCTTGGGATCACTGAGGACCAAGGTTGGGACGTTTGGCGCGGGAGTCTGTCCGTTGCCCTAGATCACATGGTGGCTTTGTGGCCGCAGTCTAAGTCGGTTATCAGAAGGAAGTAGCCCTGGGACCGTCGACAAGCATCCAGGAGAGCGGTTTCACCCGTAACGCCGAGGTAGAATTCTGCTTTCCAGCAAAACTAACATCCAGATGATTTTCCTTTGTAGCGCTGGATCCGACTGCCACGCTGTTCTTCACGCCTGCTCCGAGTGGCTGCCTTGGTAGCAGATAACCAGATACCTCGAAGAAAGATATCGCGTACTGCTTGTATAGTTGCCGCGCGATGTGCCTTGCCTGATTCCCAGTCTGCTTATGAGCTCAGCCACATGCTTCCGAATCTCATTGCTGTCATTGTCGTTCCGGTAGCTAACCTGGCCGCAGACGACAGCCACCTCCAGTCTGAGGGAGTTAGTTGACAGCTGTGCCAGACTGATAGTAATATGGTGGAGGCATATGCTTGGTAGATATTAAAGCACTGCTAGTGTGTCATGGACAGCCCTTTCAGAGCAAAGCCAAGTACACTTCATCAACCGAACTGGCGGCAGTGATATCTGAAGCCACAGCAACTGTTTAAGCTCAACATCTGGTCCCAGCATACACCTCATTCAGTATGCAACACTCCTTCATCAAAATCAGCACACAATGTTCAATATCATAATAGAAATCTAACTTACCATACAAGGCAAACATTCATCTCCACCATGATAGAAGCTATCTTCCCAACACACGCGCAACATCTTGAAAATTCAAACCTACCACTCCCAACTCCCTGGCATCTTCATCTTCGCACACCCCTCACTCTCGTCTCCCTGTTCACCCCCCTTCTTATCTCCATCCTCAACTGCCCCATCCCCCCACCGTTCCCTCCAAATCGCCAACTCCTCCTTCCACAGATCGTTGACGCACGGATCACACGAACTCCCACAGCACTCGCCTAGACCAGGCGGCGGAGGGGGGTCATTGTAATCACGCTCTGCGGCACGGAGGAGTTGCTTTGCGCGGGTGTTGGGGAGACGGTTGCGACGTTTCTTGAAGGAGGGGACGTCTTGGGGGGTATAGAGGGGTGAGGGGGGCATTTTCTTCTTGTCTTACTCAATATGGTAGAGATGACTGCTATATTTATGATTTTGGTGATAGTATAGAGATTCAGGATTGTGGGTTAGTGTTGTGGTCTACGATGCATGATTGAAGGTATACAGGCATGGCAGTGAAACCTGCCGGATGAAGATCGGGTAAGATCGGAATAGGATATATTCGTGTCGGGTATGGGTGTCGGGATACGCAGATATGCATGGTGAGTGTGAAATAGACAATTGATGGCATTCAATTCAGTTTGATTGATGAAATTTACATGGTAGCTCTTATTGAAACTATCACAGGTATCAGAATAACAACAGAAGAAATCTAAGAGAAGAGAAAAGAAGGAAATAACAAACATGCGGTATACCATAACCCAACAACCGACAGCCGGACAGACAGGCAACTCACCCGAGATCACATGTCCATCAAATACCGACAGGTCACATGCATCACCTCATCCCCGTAATACCCGTACCAAGCATACCATACCCAAGACAGTAATAAATTACCTAAGTTACCGAGTTCTCTCCCTTCCGGGTCGAAGGAGACGAAACGAATGGAATGGATGAATCACATCCACAACCACATCCATCATCCCTCCGTATCCAGTCCATGATTCATCATCGAAATGGAATCATCCTATACCATTGCACCGTAGATAATTTCCCTACCCTCCTTGACACTCAATGGCTGATAAGTTCCACTCAATGGCTATGTGTCTGTGCTCTGCTCTCTCCTTCAGGTATCTATCTATCCATCTGTCTGTGTTTCTACCGATCCGATCGTCGCAGGGAAACCCCCGATACACATGATACGTAAAAAAAAGTGGTACCTATGTTTTTTTCTTGGCGCAGGGTTAGTTTCAACTTCCTTCCGTCGACTAGAATAGATAGGTAGAACTGGGTTTTGGTTGCACGGCAGCTCTTCATGTCGGTTGGCTGTAGGTACTTCTTTTCTTATTTGGAACTATGAGTCGAGATTCATGCACATGCAGGGATTAGAGCTGCACGACAAAATTTTTGATGAAAGATTTTTTTGTTTTCTTTCTTACTTTCACAGCCCCTGAGATAGAAATTGGTGTGAGTCAATTGCATGGAAAGTGTCTGGCAAAAGTTCTCACTGCTACCATTGAACACATATATTCTGCCCTTGGGTCGCTGAGGCGGTGGTGGTGGTAGGGCGGGTGACGTTTACATTTGGGATCGTCAGTCTAGATCCACCGGGTGAGAGTGAAGGGGGGTGCCATGGGCAACTATGGGTTTGGTTGATGGCTGAATTTTTACCAACATTTATTGAATATTAATTGGAGTGTGAGAGACTATTCTAGACGTTCTCTAGGTTAGAAAATTAGATCAATTGGCCTCTTGTGGTGTAATGGAGAGTTAGTAGGATGGCTTATAAGGCGGTAATCGCCCATTGTTGGGAGGTAGTGGCCGGGAGGGAAGAGCTGCCCCCGGAGATTCCGGGACAACCGTTTCGTTGTCGACAGCTGGCATCAAGGTCGTACCTGTCTGGCTGACAACCACACGTTCCGCCTTCAATAGACAAGGTCTTTTGTCGAGCTGTTCAGTCTGACCGACAAGCTCGAAAGCGTGATCATATGATAATTGGTTCAGAGATCTGACCTGACCAGCTAAGCTGGACCGAGCACTGTTGTTACCCCAGGTTTTTCCACTCATGGGTCAGTCCGAACTGGCAGGAATTTAAAACAGCAGAGAATCATCAATCGATGTGGATATAGAGTCCCAATCCTACAATCAAATGTAGCTGGCAAATCCGTGGAGTTTAGTGGCCATTTTAAATCTCTATATGTACAGTGTATTTGATGGTTGTAGATGATGACGGGAAAAGTAGTACATGATATATAAAAAGACCACCACAATAGAATTACCTCCTATCACAGCCAAGACAATCTCAAAACAAAGAATTTTGCTGATATTCCCCCCAATATCCCCTATTTTCTCTCCAATATTGATGAAGGTTTGTAATCGAAGATTGGGAGTGGATCATAAAATCTCCGCAGATGTCGTGACTGCGATTATCCCTCGGTCATAATTTAAACGTACTTGCACATCATGGCAACCATCAGGTCGAACAGACCAATGGCCTCGACGAAGGCGAAACCAAGAATGGCGTAGGAGAAGAGCTGACCACGGAGGGCAGGGTTGCGGGAGACGGAGAGGAGGAGGGCACCGAAGACGAGACCGATACCGATACCGGCACCACCGAGACCGATGGCAGCGGAACCCATACCCAGGTTCTGGGAGACCTGGACCATGGCGTCGGCGATTTCAGAGGAGTACTGGCGGCGGGCCTGCTGGGCAGCGAAAGCCTGGCGAGCGTTGGCCTGGATGAGGCCGGAGGGAGACTGACGCTTGACGGTCTGGAAGGGGGTCATGGGGACGGCCTTGCGCTGGGTGGTGAAGGTACGCTTGGGGGCAAGCTGGAGGCGAGCGGCAGGGCGAGCGACCTTGGTGGAAGCAGCCATGGTGGAGGCCAGGCGCTGGGCGAAGACACGGGAGGAGGCCATTGTGATGGTTTGTGGTGGTTCTGAGAGAGGAGTTTCTCTAGAAAATGATGGGATTGGGAAGGGAAAGAAGGAAGGAGAACTTTTCTGGAGGAAAAAGCTGGAGGAAAGTGACAACAGAAGGCCCCCCGGGACATAAATACTCTCCCGCTAAATTTTCGCGGTTTTTTGCCCTTTTCCCACCCAGCCCCCCCGTCGGGTGTTAGTGCGCTTTGTTGGGACCAGAAAAAAAAGCCCTACCTTACTTTTTTGTTTGCTGGTGTTTTTGGCACTGTCTGTTTGTATTGTATTGTTCCTGTTTTTCCTGTTTATGTCTTGTCTTTTGGTATCAATCCGTTATCCCTAGTTGATCCTTTCGCTCTTTTTCCCTTACACCGTGTTTGGCAGCCTCGTTTTTGGCTCATTATCCTTCTTCCTTCCCCCGGGAAAAGCAGTGGACATTCCACCGCACATACACACTTACCAGAACTTACTTACACATCCTGTGTACGCATACACACATACACACCCTTCGGGATCATTCGGGATGGTGGTTACCAGGGGAGCTACAGCTGGTACAGCCAATGGTTTCAGGGTCTTCACCTGGCCGTGCTGGTCCGCGATGGAGCAATGGCCTAGTGACTCTCACTCTCACTTCCCTTCCCCTTCAGATAACCAACCCAATTGCTGCATCTGATGGAGTATTCCGTAGTCATGTGTGTATTTTACACTTGTACGGACCGTTCTCCGTTCAATTCCTTTCTTTCCCTCGTGTCGTCACATAAGGGGAAAAAAACATTCCTGTCTTGTCTCTACGGGGCACTCCCTTCATTCTTTCCTTACATATAAATTGTCCCCTTCTCCCTTCCCCTTCTGACACCCACCCAACCCAGCAACAGACCGGGAAAGACAAGACAAGACAGGAGAAACAAGCCCAAAGAGACCAGCTACGGTATGCAAAATTTTCACAGCAAAACGGGAGACCGCAAAGAAGAAAAAAAACCAGACGTGCGGGTGGGTCCCTGCATCCAAATGGGTCCGATAGAGTGGTACACCCCCACTTAGCGGTGGCCGGACAACCAATGGGAAATAGCCAAGACCCAGCTAATATGATGGCCAGCTTCTCGGTCGCAATCAAACCGGGCCGAATCGGGCATGCGGCTCCACCAGCACCGGAGTTTCTGAGCAAGAAAAATTCCCACTTCTGAGACGCAAGCAGGTTTGCGCCGCGTCGGCTGGAAGGAGGGAAGCTTCCCCAATTGTCCTGTTGTCGTGTTGCTGCCGTTGCTCCTTGTCTGTTCTCCCCTCGGGAAATGCCTCACCGACTCATCGTATTGGGTTATCTGCCGTTTTGGGACAACCCGGCTCCGTACGGAGCGCCTTTCGCCGGGGAAACGCGCGACGATCCGTAGCTCCCTGAGCTAGCTCACAAATAGCACAGAAATGTGAGTCCACACAGGCTTCTGGCGCTATGGCGCAAAAATAAAAAATAAAAAATAAAAAAAATAACCACTTTCCCCAATGCCTCAGCACGCTTGTCTCCGAGGGTGGTGCGCGGGTTATATAGCTTTTTGGATACATCAGAGAAATTGATCCCTCTCGGGGGAATAAGGAGCAAATCTCAGGGGGTGTGGATGACCGGCGCAAGCTGAATAAGGGAGAAAAGTGGGCGCGCGCGCGCGGCGCAAGCCAACCCAATCCCATCGACATCATCCCGTGGCCTCTCGAAAACCGGACGAAAGCATATCCCACACACACACAAACACAGTCAGCCCGCTAGTGGCTGGCTTTGCTCGCGGTTTTACCCTGCTGTGTGCTGTGTGCTTGTTATCGTGGCCACCACACCCCTTTCCACTAGAGGGGAGAATACCTTGGAAGGAAATCCCATTGTGTAATTTTTACCTGCTCTGCTCACCAGCCCGTTTTTTCTTTCTCATCTTCCCAAGAAGACATCCGTCTGCTACTTATACCTGGATCAGGGTGAGGCTTCCGGGGCAAATCTCTTCTACGCTCTCCCTTATTTTTTTTTTTATTTTTTGTGGCCCTCCCCCCCAAATTCACACAGTCCCTATCTATTTCCGAGGTCGGTCTCACTAAACTCGATTTAACCCGGTGATCGAGATATGATCTCAGCCGCCCTGCAGTATTACGTAACCCGGCCAGCTTCCCGACTGAACCGCTGCCGCCGTCGCCGCAAACTGGCCTTGCCTTGCCTTGCCTTGCCCTGCGCTCTCTCACTTGTTCTGGCTCAATTTAAGCATGCAGCTGGTGCAGGGATGCCACGGGGCTCGAGCTGTTCGCGAACTGTTCTTCGGCTAGCAGGGGGGGTGGGTGGTTGTTGTTGAATCCCAGTATTCTCATCAACTTAAACTGTCAAGTAGAGTTGTAATGTGCAGCAATAACTTCTCGCTGATTAGTAGTATCCACGGGAACACAAAAATGCATAATTTAAGTATCGTTCTGGTGATACCGACAGACTCGGAGGATAAAGGGTGATGCGGATGGGGGATGGGATCGATCGATGGATGGCTGCAGCGACACGGAGCCCGCCGTGTATCGGACCTGTATTGGTGGTATTATTACGGTATTGTGAATACGTGACGGGAGATACGGTCTGAAAGTGCCTTAAGGTATCAAGGCAACGACTTCTGTCGGGTCAGCGGCAGGTCCCGGACCTCGGAATTTCAGTTGGGTTTAGTTGGAATGACGGACAACTACTATCTACGTATTGGGCTGGTAGCCGTGGCCAGCCATCATCATGCCGGTTGTTTTCCTTGGTTTGCGCACGTAGGTGATTTGCATTGTAGCTTGTGGTGTGGAAGATAAGCTGGAATTCCTGACGAATCGGAGCGTAGGGGAGTATCTCGGTGAGGTTGTGGGTGTGGAATGTTGATTGCTAGCCACGGCGAGGGTGGTATGTGGATAATTATATATTGTGGTATGGAGGGTGGCTTCAACTTGGTATGTTGAGGGTCCACAGGGAGAATGGGGAAGATATATCCGGGGTTAGTGTTGTTTGTTTAACTTGTGGTTTTTTCAATGATGATGCTACGCGATATATATTATCGGATGAAGCGGGTTGGTTCAGTGGTATAAAATAACTATACATCTCGCTTATAGTGAGTACACTTATCAAGTCAGAGGTAGGTGCTAGAACTGGATAACCATAGCAGTGACTTGCACACGTTCTCGATCTACTATGAAAACGTAGTTATATTTGTGGCCATCTTGGCATGGTCTGGATTAATGTTAATTGTAGCGGAGTATTCAGTTCGTAGACACCTTCATCTCTGCCTTATTCGAAACAGCATTTCTGCATCATGTGATCACAATGATCTACGTCTGTCCTTCCTTTTCTAGGTGATATCGGTAGGGTACCGGTATTTGAGTGGAGGATGATAAGTAAAGCAGGTCCCTTGCTTCATTGCAAACACGCTCCTAACTGGAATAATCATCCGGATGAAGTCAAGTTAGGAGCGTGTTTGCAATTCATCATGTCTCAACTATATCTTGCCGTAATGAAAGATAAGATAATTATCATACAGAACATCGCGTCAAGTATACAGCGTGAAGACCTACGTAGCTTGACCGAAATTTGACCGATCCATAGAAGAAGAGCTCATTTTGTATGCTAGGTGGTTGTATACCGCCTGTTCACCTCCAACATGCAGTCATGAGCCCATCAAGTAATGTTAGATAGCCATCTCCACTACCAACTGTGAAAGAGCACGTGGTTACAAGGTTTATCAGTTACATTAGAGCTTTTTTAGACAGTCTATCTCTCGTGACATGTCGACTAAGGGGAATTGTGTGTACGTGTACGATGCTGAACTTGGAAACACTTGAGTTGACATGTCTACTTCGAAGTAATGAGCGTATCTTCCTCATCTCCGGGCAGAATAAGCTTCGAAAATGAGATAATTGGTGAAGCTATGAGTAAACAGACCATAGATACCGCTGATGTACCTGTATCAATCGGTTTGCGACAAGGACATATGCTCATCTCGCAACAGGCACAGGAAAGTCCCTTCCCCATTTTTCAAACGGCGCCTCGATAGAATATCGCAAATCGAGCTCTATCTCCTCATCAGGCTCAAGTGTCACTTCCCATCGAACCTCTCCATCACGACCCAGTTCCGCAGTCTTCGTTCCCGGCTTTCCCGGCTCTGTGAGATCCACCTTATCACCCGGAAACCCCAAGGTCTCTGGCGTGAGAATCTCAACATCAAAATGATCGTCCACATTAACTGGCACCTGATCCAATACCAAAACGCTGACTGCATGGTCTCTTGTATTCTTGATCTTGCATGTCGCTTTGAAATATGTGATAGTAAGCTCCAAGAATTCGTCGATCTTACTAAGTGTTATCCCAGGTTCCTTATAGGCCACCTTAACGAACCTATCCACCCCAAGGTTGAGTTCAAAGAATTCATTGCGCACGCAGCTGGGGACATTGGTCTTGCCGAAACAGGTACCGTCAACGGTTAAGTTCACTTCACCTGATCGCATATTCACAGGTGAAGTATTCTGTATCTTGGCACGAAGAAATGCTGCGGCATGTCTCTTGGGCACTATCACATGGGTGAATGAAGCTTGGAGGTCCAACTCAGCTATTTAATAGCGGCGGGGCGCAGATGAGGGCTTGATGACACGCCGGCCAGGTAGTTCATACGATACACTCAGGCCATGGCCTTGGCTGATCGACTCGGGCACCTTGCTATCAGGCGGATAAAAGTCATGGTACATCGAGCTTTCCAGTTCTTCCTCTATGTTATCAGCTGTAAATGGCAAAGAAATATTGTCCAACTCAGGATAACCAGGGAAGGGGAATGTCGGTTCTGATATCCCCAGTGTTGGCATAGAAGGGGCAACAGACAACCCGGATTTAGTCAGCATGACTGCCAGCTCCCATGGTGTCAATGATGGGATGGTTTGCCCCGGAGGCGACGTGTGCGCTTGCGGGGCCGACAGCGTTACCTGGGCATCTCGCCAGGTTTCGGAACTCATGTTAGTGAACAGGGCACAGAGTTTGATCTTAGCCGTTGAGAAGAGCGTATTGATGTTGAGGTCGTGAAGCTTGAGTTCTGACTTCGCCGGAACCGTATAGATCAAGTGCAACATCACTTCATTGCTCTGAGTCTTTCCTCCCGC